CTTTGAGTCTAGGTGATATTTTTCGCCCGGTCTTTCCAATGTATTATTTGCCGTATATGCATGGAAAGCTGTAAACTCCTATTATTTCAAACGGAAATTTGTCTTTGATGGATAGAAGATGTTAAGAGATTTTTGGACAAGTGGCAAATCTGGTTTTGATGTCATATTTCTTAATAACTTTTAAATATCCACATATGTGATGTTTTGAATGTAAGGAAGGACAACCGTGGCAAGTGTGGGGTTACTTTCGGACTCATTGCTTTTAGAAGGTTGTGGTGAAGTGTATTTTCTGATGGACCAATATCGAAATTATTAAAGAGAAGAGCAGATGTAAGGTGTTTTAATTCTGTGTTCAGTGACTCGGGCTGGGATAATTTTACGGCTCTGTAAAGAAAAGAATTGACATTAATGATTTTTGGGCTGGATGGTGATGTGACGATGCATTCTTCATGTATCGGTCTGTGTGCGTCGGTTTTTTGTAAACACAATAAACCAATGTGAGGTCTGATTTTCTATTAACAAGAACATCTAAGAATGTAAAAAGTATATTAAGATGTACAGAGTGTACAGGATGGAAAGTCGTATTACTTCATGTCTTTCCATCGCTAAAAATTATGAACAATACTTTTAAACGCGGCTTGCGAACATATTTGCACATTTTAGTTTTGCCCACAACATGTCAAAGGTTGCACATACCGGCTATAAAATTTAATTTTCTAAACTTTCGTTAGTTACAGATTATAGGCAACTCGATTAGTAATCTCTTTATATATATATCTTTTGTCTTAGTTTGCCAGAATAGTTTTTTTATGCTTATAATATATAAGTTTTCATTTAATACGTGTCTACGTGTCTGTACACGTTCAGTTCCTGTGTGATCGGTTTTTCATAATCACTGTGTAGTCAATTTGAGTCGGTTCGATTGATTGGTCTTATTTAGACGAGACTTGATTCGACACACTTGAGACTGTAAATAAAGGGTAGTAAAATTCTTCATCGAAATTTCAGGAAAAAATATTTAAGGAAAAGCTTACTCTTTAAAGACTGGACAAAAAATTCTCTTCTTCCAATAGCAAAAAAAAGAGGTATTGCAAAAGCTTCTTATTTAGCATAACTTTTATTTTGAAGATATACAAAAAAAAACAATTAGTTGAAGTGCTAGGAACCAAATCGTATGATAAAACTTGTTTCGTAGACGTATAAATGATATGGGTCGAATTAAAAAACAAAGTTAATGCCAATAACAGTTCTATAATTACAATTATACACTACCCAATACAACAATGTATTCACATATTTTATGTTTTAATTTCCTTACTACTACGCTGGACCGGTTTGATTAGTTGGCTCAAAAATGTCAACGCGCAGATAAAAATTCTAAAATTATTATTAAAGTCATGACCGAAAAGGAAGGAAGGAAGAAGGAAGTAAAGAGAAGAATAGAGATAGCAAATTCCAAGTAGGCGCAAATGAGACAGTGTGAAATGGTCCTACCTGGAATGTGCGTGTGTGAATTGAAAAAATTATTTTGGGTTGATAAGGCTGTATGCGATTTGTAGATTTAAAAATGTGATTGCATTAATAAGACCTGACGATTTTTGGAAAGCACACAAAAATATTTAACTTAAATTTATCAATTTCCCATGACCCTACAAAGAAATAGTGGCAAAATTCTTCATCGAACTGCATTTTGAATGTACCTGAATCTAGAGGATAAAGAATTTTACACTGTGGTTCGAAGGAAGGTTGAGTGCTAAACTCTTTTTACTCTGTCTCGAGTGAACTTTTTGAAAACTGGTAGGTGCTAGGAAGCCAATCGTATGCTAAAACTTATTTCGTAGACAAGGTCAGTTGAGAGTTGAGTTCTATAGAAATGATACGCAGTAAAAGGTACCTGGACCGGTTTGATTTACTATTATTAGTCATGACCATTTATCTTGTGCCGGCGTATAAAATTACTTCAAATGTACATCCTTAATTCAGTTATATACAGAAAACGACTCGGAATCTGAAAGTTACAGGTCCTATAAAACTTAATTTTTGTTAATTGTATCCCGGCAAGAAGAAAATTTAAAGAAAAACGGAAGAAAATAGAGAGAATTGAGAAATAGGGTAGATAAGTAAATTCCAATTAGGCGCAAATGAAATTGTGTGCAATGATGAGACCGGGAGTGTGAAATTTTAAACAAATTATTCTGGGTTAACAACGGTACATACGATGGGACAAAATCATAATGAAAATGTTTAGGAGTAGTAATGCAGAGTAGATTCGCAGGAAAATGTATGCAATATATGAGAGGCATCAGATTCCGTCCCTTAAATCATTGCAACAGAAAGAAACAGAAGAACAGAGAGAAACATTATGCCAGTTTCACAAAATCGGGTTTAGATTTAAAAATACGGCTGCATTATTGAAACCTGACGATTTGTGGAACCCACAAAAAAATATTTAAGTCAAATTCATCATTTTCGCCTAGAAAAACGAAATATATGTTACTTAGCGGAGACTTTATTCGATACCCATGACACAGTAAAGAAAGAGAGGCAAAAATCTTTATCGAACTGAACTGAATGTACCTACAAGAAAAACAATATCTATTTTACACTTTGGCTCGAGGGAAGGTTGATGTCAAGCTCTTTCGTACTTTCAGCAAAACACATTAAAGACTACCATCAGTGCAAGTGAACTTTTTGAAGATTGGGTAAATATTCTCTTCTTCCAGCGGCAAAAAAGGGGTATTGCAAAAATTATTTTGAATATATTTACTCAAAAAAAGTAGTTGAAGTTTTAAGAACCAAATCTAATGATAAAATTTATTTCGTAGACGACCCCTTATCCCCCTTATCAGTAGGATTTTTACCTTATGGAGACACCCAATTAAAGAAAAGAAAGTTAGATGGAATAATATAAAACCAAAAATGATGTAATTAGAATAGAGTGTGAATTAATACCAGAGATCAATTTGAGAAAATGTGTACTTGAAGTGGAAAATAATTATAAAAAACTTGGTACAACGTAAAACCATAAATTATATCCTCGAGTGATAGTGAAGGCACAGATTCAAATTGTTCCAATGGCCAATTTTATTTACTACGTATTCATTATTTATATAATCACAAATATACAGTACGAAATACAACAGAATGTATTTATATATTTTGTTTCAATTTCCTTACTACTATCCTGAAACAGTTTGATTTATTGGGCCAAAAATGTCTAGGAGGGGATAAAAATAATCGTAAATTTCAAGGCAAACCCAGAATTCAAAATTTTAATTTTTAATGGATTATATCAGGACTTGAAGAAATTTTAAAGAAAAATGAAAAGAAGTTAGGAGAAAAATAGGGGAAATTGTTAAATTCCAACCTGCAACGTGCAATTTTGAATAAATTATATTGGGTTGGCAACGCTGCATACGATGGGATAAAATCATAATGAACGTGTTAAAGAATGGTAATGCACAGTTGATTTGCAGTGAAGAAGTGAAGAAAAGAGACCCGACGATTTTTGGCAAGCATACAAAAATATTTAACTTAAATTAATCAATTCCCGTACGAAAAAGAGACGCACATGAAAAAATAGAATGAAAGGGTTGCAAAATTCTTCATCAAACTGCAGTTTGAATGTGTCTGCATCTAGAGGAAAAAGAATATACATTTTGGGTGCTAAACTCTTTGTTACTTTGTTGGAAGTGAACTTTTTGAAAACTGGAAAAAAAATTCTCTTCTTCTAAATATCCTACCACAATTTAGCTAAAAGAGTTGACCTTTATTTTGAAGAGGCTTATACAATACTAGTTGAAGTTTTAAGAACCAAATTATATGACATAAAAATGCGTCAATAAACCCCTTGTATTATCATCTTATCACCGGGATGTGAACCTTCTAGAATTCATATGGACCGAATTAAAAAACAAAGTTGGACGCAATAACAATTATACAGTACGCGATACAGCAGAACGTATTAAGATATTTTGTTTTAATTTAATTACTCCTGTCCTGGACCGGTTTGATTTATTATTATTATACGTCACGATCATTTATCGTGTCCCGGCCTAATTATGTTATTAATTGTATCAGCACGAGAAGTAAATTAAATGACAAACGTAAGGAAATAAAGAGAAGAATGGAGAAATAGGGGCAATCGGATTTAGATTTAAAATATTGAGAAGCGTAGTTTCATTTAAGAGACCCAACGATTGGTGGGACGGAGATAAAAATATTTCACTCAAATTCATCAACTTCGCGTTGAAAAACAAAATCTATATTATTTTGACGAGATTTGATGACTGCTCATTAGACTACCAACAGGCCATGAAAATTGGGTAAAAAATTCTCATCCTTCAGTACCAAAAAAGAGGTATTGCAAAAGTTGTTTATTTTTAAATATACTTATACAAAAAATAACAATTAGTTGAAGTTTTAAGAATCAAATCGCATTAAAAAACTTATTTCGTAGAGGACATAAAAAAATCCGGTAATGTACACTGCGATTTGAATTCTGTAGAAATGCTATGAGTCGAATTAAAAGTTAAACGCAATAACATTTATATAATATAAATTATGCGGTACGCAATACAACAGAAGGTTGTCATATAGTTTGTGCTTCAATTTCCTTACTCCTGCCCTGGACCGGTTTGATATATTATTATTAGTCAGGACCATTTATCGTGCGCTGGCCAATTTAAGTAGTTCAAATGTACCTCCCTAATTCAGAATTTGAAAGTTACAGGTCCTATGAAATTGTATTTTTATTTATTGTATCAGGTTGATAAGAAAATTTAAAGAAAAGAGGAAAGAGAAAAAGAGAAGAATAGAGAAATAGAGGAGATAATTAAATGCCAATCAGGCGCAAATGAGATAGTGTGTAATAGTCGTGCCTGGAGCGTGCAATTTTGCATAAATTGTTTTGGGTTGGCAACGCCGCATACGACCCAAGTTTGTGGGAATTTTGCCCCCTAAATTCGTAACATTAGAGACCGCACACGGGCGATACTTACCCGAGTACATTCATAATCACCTATTCCCGAACATGTCGCCCACTATTTTCCAGTGCCCGGGGGTGATACGCGGCACCGATTGCATTTTCGGGGTAGGAGGGGATCGGGGCGGTAGAGATGCTGCAGGCGACCCCAGACCAATCGATAGGCGGCACCCGGGCTCTTTTCCCTTCCCGAAATAAAAGCCCAGCCGCAGTACGACCCGGTAGGAAAATCCGCGGCAGGAAAATGTCGGGAAACGCGCCTCGATCAATCTCGCCCTCGCGGGGTGCGCGGGGGTTTGGAGGCGTACGCGTCGACCGCACCCGCGGGGTCCTTTGGGGCTTCGCACTGGACTCCGAATCGACTCGACCTCAAAACTTTTCCCGTTTACTAAATCGGAACGCGCGAGGGCAGCGACCACGAGACACGGGGCTCCGACGCCTTTTACTACGGCTCGGCCCCTTCCCTTTGCGAGAACAGCCGACGGCACCCGAACGCGGAGGTTGCGCACGAATTCGGGAAAAAAGCCGCGCGCGTGCACCCTTTAACGCTGCGCCGGGGGGTTGGAGGGATGCATTCCGGATCCCCAGCCGACAGGAATTTAAATAAACGCCGGGACCGGCGCCTTCGCCATTACGTAGGATGACACCGATATGCGCAAGAAAGCACAGGGATTATAAAATTGGAATTCCCTAATTTCGTTTGGAAGTATAGTCACAAATAGTCATAACCGTAATAATGCTATTAACATCTGCTCGGAGGCATTTTTGGGGTAAAATAAATCAAACCGGTTCAGAGTAGTAGTAAAAAACTTGAAACAAAATATTTGAATACTTACGAGGGTGGCGTAAAAATTTCCGACCTGACTAAGAAAAACGATGTTTTTCTTGGTCAACACACATTTCTCATAACGGTGCTCTAATTTAGTTATACCAGTTTTAAACATAGATTCCTCAAGGTCCTCAAAACACTGATTTACAGGTTCTATAACTTCTTCGTTGCTCTTAAATATTTTACCGCCAAGCAAATTTTTGAGGTTAGGAATTAGGTAATAGTCGCTGGGAGGAGCGGCAAAAGAATTACGCAAAGTTGCCAAATCTCTCTTCTGACAGTGGATTTTTATAGTCATTCACAAACTTTAGTAAATACATGTTCGCTATCATGAACAGGTTAACAAGAAATATGTAAAGTTTGGAGCGCAAAAAAGCGGTCTCACAATAGTATATTATGCAACAAGTGCGGTAAACGGCATTTGACTCACGAGTTTATTTGACACGAGCGGAGCGAGCGAGGTGTCACGATTACAATAAATACTCAATGAACAGAAATTTGAATACTAAGATTAGCACCAACAAAAAGTGTATTTAACCATGAACTTTGTTAGTGGGCATAAAATTAAAATTAAACGTAAATTAAAATTTCATAATTTTTGTTCTATATTTAGGGTCGACAAGGATAATTGGTAGATGGCCGCTAAGAGCGAAATTGATATGCGCTGGTTGAAGAAAATAAGTGTGTTCTGTAAGATCAAAGTATACACAATGAATTGTTTTAAAATCTGTGTTATCATTACCGATGTTCAATGTTTTTCCCATCAAGTATGTATGGGCTTTTTCGATCACGTCGCAATCTTATCAGGATCTTTGATTAATTCTTATGTTATTTGTTCAATAAAACCTATCAGTTCAAAAAGATGGATTTGCAAATTAGTGACAATTGATTGCTAGTGACGAAATATCCTATAGCAATCAGAAGCCACCATGCAGACGCGCATATTCATCGGCATTTTAATTGCTTTTGTTGGATGTAAGTAAATTTCGTAGAATTTCTTTAGGACTTCTCATTGTCTTCCACCAGGGAATTAAGTCTTTTTTACATATTGACCGTTGTAACGGTAGTAATGATATAAAAAATACATATTAATACATACATAATATATATTAGAACTACGAATAAGTTTACTCAATACGGAAAATTCTCGGTATGTCGCGAAAGCTTTTCTGAACAACACGGCATGTAGGTGAACTTTCTACGTGACTTTCAGTTCTTTTAAAAATTTAAAAAAAACTCGTTTAGCAAACAATCTTTTACAATCCAAGAAAGGAGTCGGCCATGAACTTCGCATGATAATGCTTTATGTGGGTATATGGTAGGTTTGGTATTTTTATCAATCGAGTCTCTCGCCTTTTTTGATATTATTACAATTCCATTTCGCATTGTATATTGTCCAGCGTGTTATGAATCATCTATTTTGTTTATAGATATTTTTTTATTCTATTGGTGCGCTTCTCAACACGTCTTTCTGTATTCGTAGATTCTTTAAATTGTCACTATAAGGTTTTTGTCCACTTCATAATACAAGATTTCTGTACGTCACTTCATATTTATTGAAATTGACAGATGTCAACGTATCGGTTGCAATATAAAAATAGTTTTGGTAAAATACTATTACCATTTCTCGCAGAGCTTTGTCCTTCTGTGCTGACACGCTGTTGTCACATTGTTAGTCAATTCCAATATACAGGGTGTCCCTAAATTAGTGGGTCAAACCACAACATCATATTCATATTCTACGTGCAAAATAAATCCTAATTTTCTATATAAACATATGTCGAGAAACGCTTCCTAACGGACAAGCCAGGACCTAAAACGACTCGACTTGAAAGTGGTTTTTTATTAATGTTTCCGAAACAGTTCGAGAGAAAGTTTTGAAATTTTGGTGTTTTAGCAATTTTGGCATGCTGAATCTGATTCCAAAATTATAAATGCAAAGTTTGTGTCAGCGGCGCAACTTTTGAAAGGTACAGGTAATAAAAACTTCAATGGATTTTTTATGGGCTGATTTTAGACTTTTTCCTTATAAAATCGGAAAAGTTGTTTTGTACTACTGTTATTCATTACATGTTGAAAAGTATGCCCTAAAACTGAAATTGATGGCATTGTTATTTTCTTGTCAGTTTGAAATTCGTGGTGTTTTTTTGTTCACATTGTCTTTTTGTAAGCATGGAGCGTTTTTTGGAGCGATTATTTTCGAACATACTTGCGGAACGTGGATAAACAGAATTGAGGAAAAATTTTCAAAGAAACATTCACATGCTTCCACAGACTTCGACTATAGTTTCAGCTAAGCTCTGAACAACAGGATGATTGGCGAGATTTCAGCAAGTTCATTAAAAAAGTGGAATTGAGGGAAATTCTGAAATGGAACAAGAATGTCCGGCACATATTACTAATATACTTAAAGCAATCGTAAATTTACTGATACGATGTTTCAGTCTTTTTACATAGACAGGGTTCTGCAGTAATGAAAATCCGAGAGTTTTTCAAACAAGCAGCTTTCAAAATAAGTTTTTAATTTATGTTAAATTTCCATACAAATGATGTGACTGAATTGTCAAAGAATATTCCCGTTCGTACTAGCTTAGAGACATTCTTTCAGCATGATAGAGCGCTCGATCGATGTGTAAGAAAATTTTACAAATAAGTGGATAGTCGAGGTGGCCCAATAAGTTGGCCAGCTCGGTGGCCTGACTTAAATGCACATTATTATTATATGTGTTGATATATATGTAATTCTATTTATGCTGCAGAAGAAGATAGTCCTGGCGAATTAATATTGCTAAAACTTAATTAAAAATCTTAAAATATTAGAATAACTTACGTTATATTACGATTTACAAAACCACATGCATTTATTATAATCTTATATATTATTATGACTCCTAATTTTAGGTATATCCCCACAATATAAGATATTCGTTGGATATAGTCTTGGTTTTCTCAGTAAAGTGCGCAATATAGTCTTTAGTTACTTTTAGATGGTCTAGATGACTCTCCTCCCTATACCAGTATACCATAATTTAATAGGGACTCCATTAGTGCTTTTTAGATTACAACAAAATTTTTCTTATATTCTTATATTCTTTCTACATACAGAGGTAAAGAATATGTTGATCCCATTACAAATGGTTATTTATCTATCACTACTCAAATATCAAATACTTGATACCGATGTACTCTTTCACAAGGATTTCATTTTAATATGGTCAACTGGCTTCTGTCAGGGACTAGGCAATACCTATATTGTGTTTTTGTAATATTTAAACTTAGCTTTAAATATTTGTGAAATTTGTTACTTTTTATTTGTGTAATGTCACGGTTTTTGCTCAATTCATTGGTGGCTTAGTTTTTATGAAATTTATTTTTATAATAGTCATTTTTCGTATCTTTTATAATTTGATTTAACTTATTTCTATATTCAACGTACTCTTGTTTTTTTATGTGTAGTTCTTTTAGGTTAAAGAAAAATTATCAAAATTGTTCTATTCGGAGTGAAATAGAGACTGCTTTTATAACCTGTTATGACCAACTAACAAAAACGTTTTTTTTCCGAAACTTAAATATTAGGCTTAGTTTAAAAAATACGTAATACGTATAATTTAAAATTAAACAATATATACAGGGTGTACTAGTGTGCATTTTAAAGAAGTCTCTAACTTTGTTTGTAGAATTTCCCCAAGAAAAATCCTGTTTCTAGACACTGTTAAGTGTTATGTGCGACGCGTCCTCAAAACCATAGGTTTCCAAATAGAGTAAAAATTTTAAGAAATTGTTGCAGAGACACTTGAAGAAATTCAATTTTATCTCTGGCATAGAATCTAAAAATGAAATGATTAACCCCAACACGTTCCTGTAGCATGTGGCAATACTGCAGATATACCTATTAGAAGTAACTGGCGAACGGATGGTCGGATTTATTTTAAATTATACAGTGTGATGTAAGGTGCTCTAAAGTATTTCCAATTATCCCGTGTTGCCGCTTCTATATAAACATGGCAATATCTTGCTTAGTTTAAATGGACATCTCTGTATATCATTTCGTTTTTAGATTCTGCTCAGGAAACAAAGTAGATTTTGCTCAGGTTTCACTATACCTATGTCTCACGAAATATAAAATAATTTATTCTGTCTTGATTATTGGCTTCATAAAAAGAGAAATATAGTTGGAAAGAAACTAAAATGAAACGAAATTTTTAATTGTATCTTGCCAGGAATGCCTGAGCCGTTCTGCTATTCGATTAGAGTACGAAGCTATTAAGATTTCTTCAAGGGTCCAAATCTAGAAAATTATTTTTCTTTGTTACGGTAAGACTTGAACAAAATCTACTTTATTCCTTTGCGTATATTCTAAAAATGAAAAGAGATAGAGGGTGTGCTATTTACACTAAGCAAGATGTTGCTACGTTTATATAGAACTGACAATACTGCATAGTTGAAAATATTTTTCATTTTATTATTGACTTAGTTGGAAATGAACGTTCGGCGAACATTTTAAACCATTCTTGGATGGCAATTTTCGAAGTGCGTATTTTTTATGAACACGATTTGCTTGTCCGGCAATATCTTAGGAAAAAAAGAATGGATAATTCTTCATATTTTAGGCCCAGTAAATGGGAAAAAAGCTCAAATTCCGGCTGGATCCAGAATAATCGGCGGTGCTCCGGCAGACATCAGTGACTATCCTTACCAAATTCTCCTGCTGATCGACGGAGAAGGGGTATGTGGAGGGTCGATCATATCCACCAACTTCGTGCTGACAGCGGCTCACTGCATATACGGGTAAAAAAACCTCTTTGTCCATGTACCAACGAGATATTTTATATTTTATCTTATTCCCACTTTATCATTAAAAATAACTCTATCCGATTTTATTCATAAAAACAAACTATTGCTGGATAGTTTTATCGGTACAATTAAGTTTTTCAAAATTCGTTTTGCCTTTGCGTTCTCCCTGAACTCTCTATTATCAACAGGGTATTTGAAAAAGACGCCTCAATATTAAGGGGGTGATTCCTCGGACCTTTTTTATGAAGAAAGGTTGCATAAATGTAGATCTGGAAATACATTGTTTTCAAGGTACAGGGTGTTTTTTAATAATTAAGTCAGAGAACACAGTCCTTGTATATGTTACTTCCGTGGAAAATATAGAAGACCTAAGAAATCGAATTATTGCTAAATGCTATTCTATTAGAAAGGAAACCGGTAATTTTGACATAGTTCGCCAGTCCATGAGTCAAAGACTGGATTCCTTCATCCGAGTTATAGGTGGTTCCGTTCAAAGATGCCGAAAACAAAATTTTCATTTCCCTTTTCATTTTTGAAATACGAAATTATTTTCTAGGGATAATATATACCGGGTGATGCATTTCCAAATGGAACATAGGAAATCCTATGTAAATTTTTAAGTGCCCAAAATTGGTTACCTTGTACACTTTATATCAAAGTTGTAATATAACCTTCTGAAGGGGACGGTACGATTAACAAAATGAGAAAATTTATAAGGTTTGGTAATGTCAAACACCAATAAAATACATTTTGACAGTGACAGCACGAAAATTCGTGACAGTATATTTTTGATGGTTATACGTTATTAAACGCGCACTAATTAAAGCCGAATTTGCGTTATTCAATAGAAGAAAAGGTAACCATAATTACTAATTACTATGCAGGAATTATTCTTAAATAGTCCTTTAGAGCGTTCTTTGAATGAATTTCATTCAAAAATGCTTTAAGCAGTAAGGAAGCTTCAAGCAACGACTATAAATGTGGCCCTCAAGTTTTTTTATTAAAAGCAATTAATAATTGTAATAATATTACGGTTATTAAACATTGCTAAAAAGAAAAAATATTTTTTACAACAACCCTCCATTAACAGTCAAAGAATATCCAAATAGATCATAAAATTCATTTCTCACATTGCTTGGTTTATATTGTGAAATTCTGTCACATGTTAAGGAAATTTTTTTTTGTTTGTTTTGTAAGTGGTTAAGATTTTCAAATTTAATATTTTTATAGATAACACTTTTCAAGGATTAAGCATCTTGGACCAATAATATTCCCATTAAAAGTATTTCTTCTATTAATGCGGGTTCAATTTGATTTTGCAATAAGTCCAAATAGGTTCTGCCGTGAGGTTATAGTCTATAAAAAATGTCCGCAACTTCCCACAATAACATTTATTTTTTGACGATATGGGCTTCGAGTATGAACAAAACAGTATTCATTGTCTTGGCTTCAACACCGATAGTTTTGATCATTTGGTTGGTTGTTTAGTGTGAATGTACATTCATCAGTGAAACAAATATATTTTTTAAAAATCTCTACCAATATTTGCTTTTTCTATGATTTCAAAACAAAATCTACTCTTCTTTATTCATCGCCCTCAAGAAGCTTTTGGTATTTTTGGTATTTATAGGAAAAATATTTGTTTTTTTATGGGCGCAACAAGTGGTTTCATGTTCATTTACTGCTTGTCCAAGAATAGTCGTACTACTCATTTTGCTTTCCTCCACATGCAGTAACATGTTCAAATCTATATTGTCCCTTTCTTCTGCTCTATTATCGACATTTTCAACTGAACATTTGCAGAAAAATAAACTCAAAATATCTGAAACACTCTAAGACTGTTTCCTGCATAATACAACTTAACTATGGTTACTTTTTCTTCAATTTAATAACGCATCTTGAGCTTTAATTAAAAGGCGTTTAATAACGTATAACAATCACAAATAAAAATATTGTTACTGTCACGAATTTTCGTGTTGGCACTGTCAAAATATATTTTACTGGTATTTGGTTTATTACCCAAACTATAAAAAAAAATCTAATTTTGCCATGATATTTAATTCAATAACTGAAAATGGGCTTATTAAAATTTATTCAAACTAGGCACATGAGTTAATCATACCCATTCAAAAAGTTATATTAGAACTTTGCTATACAATGTATAGGGAACCCAATATTTGGGCACCTAAAAATTTACATTTGATTGCCTGTTCCGCTCGGCAATGCATCACCCGATGTATAATTGTAGATCCGAAAATGCACTGTTTCCAAGATGGAGAAGATTGGATTTTCCATAATTTTTGGAAATTAATTTCAAAGATTAGAGAAATTAGAGCGCTTTTACGGTCAAAATGACAAGTTGACAAAAATCAGCACGAATTTGTTTTGTGTATTACAATATCACCACCCTAGGACTACTTGTTCAAAATCAAATTCTTCCAACAAGACTAGAGAGAATATGGGAAAAAATTATTTTATTTATATTATATTTCTGTTGATAACTTTTGTTTTCCGACATAAATTTGATTAAACACGAATTTGTAGTGCGACGTGTTGTGATTTCCAATAAACCCCGCTACATATCTGGCGTCCCAATGTGAGCCTGATATTTGAGACTGACCACCACCCCATTGGCTTTAAGACTCGCCGAACTAAAGAAATTGTAACATGTGTTGCATAATAACCCAAAATCCGACATTGTTTTTAAAATTTTCCGTGCATTTGTTTCAACATTGATTGACGCAACTGGGCATTACATTTTTCTGTAACAAGTGTCAGAATATTTTAGAGCATTTTTTAAACAGGTTATAATTTTTCCTATAACCTCGACATACTTTTCGCGATTTTTCAGAAATGATGGACAAGTGTAGAGCAATCGAAGCCAGCATTGCTGAATCGAATCCGAAGGCCCAAGGACAGATGTTGTAAAGCTTATCGACATAGTCAAGCTGTTTGTAGAAAATTTAATGCCAAGGCCGTTAAGAAAATCTCCACACGACTAACTAACCAGTCATCCACAGTTGTCGCGTGTTATGGTTGCAGTACTCCGGGATATATTCGTTCCGAATGTCCTCAATGTAAACCTACACTTACTGCTGATTTTTGTGGACCTTCAAATTTACTGACATCATTCTTAAGACTCGTGATACCTGTTATCATTCAAAACACATTCGGGTTTGCTTTTGTAGATTTTGGAGCAAGATGAAATATTGCAGGTTCGAAGTCACTTAGATGCTATTTAACATCCATTCGAGACCACTGCAGTAAAGCGGATATTTTACGATGGAATTCCTCTTGAAGAAGAAGCAAAGATGTTCTAGTGTTCCATTAAAATTATGGACCGAGAAAGAGAACTTAATGTGATCGCTGTTCCCGTGATCGCTGTTCCCGCTTACAAAGACAGCAAAACTCTTCTGGGTATTGACTTTATATCACAATTCGATATTGGTCTCAATATATCTAGGGAGGTGTACTATTTTAACAACCCAACTAATTCCTTGCCATTACGAAGTTTTGTCGATTGCACCTGTCAAAAGGAGCGTCATGTCCAAGATACAGAAAGATCCGCTGTTGATAGCTCTTTCAGATGATCAAGAGCATACAATAATAACACTACTGGATCAAAACAAGGATTTGTTCCACTGCTATCCCGTATGCAGAGCACACAATAACACTAACTGATGTTGTACCTATTGCCGTGCCCCCATATCCTTTACCTCCTGCGAAGAAAGGGATTCAGCGTCAAGAACGTAACAAACTTCTTTCCGATGATCCGGTTGTTCTTGTACCTAAGAAAGACATGACTCTGTGTTGATTTCCGTTGACTGAATGTTATTACGCAGAATATTCACTACCCACTGGCTGTAATAAATTACCTTATACTTGCTACTGGAGAAGCTAACTACATTATCACATTGGACCTAAATAGTGGTTATCATCAAGTATCAGTTAGGGAACAATGTCGTGATAAAATAGCTTTCATTACGACGTTTGGACTTTACCGTTGCAAAACGATGCCTTATCGTTTTTCCACAGCGGCAGCAGCGTTCCAGAAATTGTTAGACCGTTTTTGTTAAAGTTTAACTCATAATGGATCACTCTATCTTCGACTTTTCATCAACACATTAAAGACTTGACTGAAGTTTTCACTTTTCTACGGTTTTACAAGCTAAAAATAAACCTTAAGAAATGTACCTTCTGCACTTCAGAGGTTAAATATAAACTAAACAAAACTATTTGTTAATAATTGTACTAATCGAGATATGCTCGACAAAGTTAATTGAGTTACGTCATTGATATTGGAAACAAAGTAATTTTAATATAGAAATTGGTATACACAAATTAGAACATTTCTCAGTCGCTCTGCGACTGCGAGTGTTGAATGTAAATTTGTTTGTAGGCAAACTGAAAATCAATTGCAAGTGAGAGCGGGATCGACATACAGATCTACCGGTGGACAAGTGGTAGGAGTGAAGAAGATCAACTACTTACAAGACTCCTTCAACATAGATACCTACGATTACGACATTGCCGTTTTGGAACTGTCGAAGGCTCTGGTATGTTGAGATCGTTTGTGGTTTGATATGTGCTTCTGTGATATATATATATATATATATATATATATATATATATATATATATATATATATATATATATATATATATATATATATATATATATATATATATATATATATATATATATATATATATATATATATACTAACACTTGGAATTTCTTCTTATATCGACCGTACTAAACTTATTTGAATTCAAAGGATATCGGGTAGCGGTCCGTGGTTAAAATAGAAAGCTCCTTTTTTCTTTAACACTCAATATTTCGTCAATTTATTTGTTGACTTCTTAAGGAGTGAACTAAAATTTAATGAAAACAACAGGTCAAACTATATAACAGACAATTAAAACAATCGTGAGAAATACTTACAAAATTAGAGTCTACCACATAGTTCCTCAAAAACCATACTTTACAGTTAAGGTAAATGAACGGAGCGACATAATGAAACAAACGGATAAACACTTAGTATACAATTCTTAATAATGGTAGGCAAAAGTTGCGCTAACGGGGGTAGCAAAAAAAAAAAAAAACAATCAAAAAAAAAAAACAATCGATCTAAATAATGACAAAAAAGGTCATCAAAATAACCTACTTGAAATGTGCCATATTAACAAAAACAAAGATTCAATTAATTACAAGTCTGATACACAACAAATAAGCAATATATACTGTAACATTTTTCAGTTAAACCACAGATAATGTAATGTTCGGCCACCGAGTAGCGTATTCGCGTTGCGTTGTTGATCCACGGAGTAGGTTATTTTGATGCCCTTTTTTTGTCATTATTTAGATCGATTGTTTTTTTTTTTGATTGTTTTTTTTTGTTTTTTTCGCTACCCCCGTTAGCGCAACTTTTGCCTACCATTATTAAGAATTGTATACTAAGTGTTTATCCGTTTGTTTCATTATGTCGCTTCGTTCATTTACCTTAACTGTAAAGTATGGTTTTTGAGGAACTATGTGGTAGACTCTAATTTTGTAAGTATTTCTCACGATTGTTTTAATTGTCTGTTATATAGTTTGACCTGTTGTTTTCATTAAATTTTAGTTCACTCCTGAAGAAGTCAACAAATAAATTGACGAAATATTGAGTGTTAAAGAAAAAAGGAGCTGTCTATTTTAACCACGGACCGCTACCCGATATCCTTTGAATTCAAATATATATATATATATATATATATATATATATATATATATATATATATATATATATATATATATATATATATATATATATATATATATATATATATATTCTCACGTATTAAACTCCGACTGGAATCCTGCATCCGACTGGAATCCTGCAAATCCTGCATCCGACTGGAATCCTGCAGACGTTTCGCCAAAATCTCACTTGGCATCTTCAATGCTCGCGCTCCTAGTGTTCGAAGTGTTTTCGTTTGTGTTAAAATTTTATTTTTACATAAATAAAAAAACCGTAAAACAAATAAACTTAATATACCCGAATCACAATTTTCTCCATCTTCAGGAAGTTATCAAAACTGAATCTTTTATTGGAGATGTCAACTTGGGTGCTAAAACGCGCATCTATGAGGTAAAATTATGTTTTGGTTTGTGATAAAACTTGTATTATAAAACAATTTTTTTCGACGATTATGCAAGAAGCTACTTTTTTCCCAATATTTACACAAGTTTCAAAAAGTGATAAATTTAAATTAACCTTGATATCTTCCGCTACAGATATTAATGTTGGTTTGTTAAATTTTTTGTAAGCTAAATTCTGTCCTCAATTGCCCAGTCATTATCAATAAGCTTTATTAATTCCTTAAAATTTTCTGTATAATCTTTACGAGGATTTTCCTTTTGAACTTCAATAGAACACGCTGTATTTACTGCATGTTAAATCAGTGTTCCCATCTGAAGTGCCAAAGAAGGGGACTTAAAACTTCGATTTTCAGCGTCATACTCTGCTATGTTTCTTGTAGCTAAAACCAGTATTTTAAACATTTTAGGTAAGAGAATCTCAGCTAAACCAAGTGTTTTATGATTTTTGAATGTTATAACGCTGACGAGTAAACGAGGTAATCGTCTCATGTTCCGTTTCGCTACTACCAAAAGATGTTTTTCTTTATGACTTTTTATATAGCGCGTACCAACTTCACACATAAGATGATCTTTCTTAGCAACCAACGAAGTTTCATCCGCCCGTAACATGTTTATAAGACCGCTAATTTTTAAAGGATCATTCGGTCCAAAATTCCCTACCATTACGGTTTGACCTTCAATCTGTGCTTGAAAGCGTTGACTCGGATCGGGATTAAAGAAACATTTTTTTGCGTGGCGACGAAGGCTATTCTTGGCATAATAGCCTTGACAAAATTTGCATACAATATACTCTTCAACTATCTTTTTTCTGTTTGTCATTACAGGTACAATATTTGATGTAGAAAAGCCACCTTCCCTACGAACACGTCCAGTTTTTCCAGGTGTTTTAACTTCGGAATCCAGATTGTCATTTTGTCCGAGACTGACACAATAATTGTGGTCAACGTTATTATTTTCTTCGGGAGGTAAACCTGGTTCTATTGTTTGCAGCGTAGTATATGTACTGTCGGTCAATTCTTCACGCAGTTCAATAGGGCTATCCAAAAAAAAATCACTTTCTGTGTATCCACATTCCCACGAACTTACTGCTTCGGATTCTTCTGGTAATTTATATTCCGAATCGGAAATTATTTGGCTATTATCAGAGCTTGAAGGAGTCATATCTACAAAACAATAATTTAACAATGTAAAGAGGTTACGTAATTTTTATTTTTCATGGATAGTTCCATACATTATAACAATAACTTTAAAAAAATTGTCTGTGATTTAAGCCAGATACCAAAAATGCATTTTTTCGAGAAAATGTCATTCATTTAATTCATTTTCTTACAATTCATTTTTTTACAAGAGTAAAGTAATCTTATTTAAAAGTTTTTAACAAAATGATATTTCAAAATTGGATTTAATTGTTTTCATTAAGTTTGGATGACAATATTTTTTGCTTCTTTGGTTAAAAATATCTCATTTAGAACATATAATCTAAAGTATCAATTTGTTTAAGACTTTAGAATAAGTTTGCTTTACTCTTGTAAAAAATTGTCAACGGTTTGGACACTCTGTATACAAAATAAAATTTTTTGTTCAATCAAAAAGTTTTTGTCCGTTTAAAATATTGTTTACCACATCTGGACAAGGACATGAATATGCCGAAAAAAATTCAATATTGTTTAAATTCGGAGTTCAGTTTCAATTTTCTCAAAATTTGAAAACTTACTTAACTTAAATAAAAAAAACGGGCACTGTTTTCAGCCTTTATTTTTAAAACCAAAAATTGAATGTGATGTATCATCTAACTTCAGTAAACTAGGAAAATACTTAATGACAAGATTATACTGCAAATTGCAATTGCAACCGGTATTTGAAAAGTTTACATTTATCTCACAAAACATGCATTTTCGGCCCTTGGATTATATAAACTTTCCATCATATCTTTCAGTGAGATCTTGCCTCTGAAATTTAACAATGCAGTTTTCAAACATAAATGGACACAAATAACTGGTTAACATTAAAAAAAAGTAACGGAATCGCTTAATATGTTGAAAATATATTAACATGAATGATTTGACTTTTGTATTGTTTGTGATGTGCTTCCGTAATTTCGTTGTTGAATCCCAGTTATTTTAAATATCTTGAAAGAATCTTAACCTGTGAAGTGATTTTCGTAATGCGGCGAAACTTTGAAACTTAGTGTAAAACAAATTGTATAATAATTTTGACATATTGAGTCAGTGTTTGAAGTGTTTTCGGAGCGCGAGCATTGAAGATGCCAAATGAGATTTTGGCGAAACGTCTGCAGGATTCCAGTCGGAGTTCAACGATCGAACGGATGATATCCCGGAATATAGTGTCATCACATTTTTCCATCCGTGAATCAATACGGGAGAATATATATATATATATATATATATATATATATATATATATATATATATATACATATATATATATATATATATATATATATATATATATATATATATATATATATATATATATATATATATATATATATATATATATATATATATATATATATATATATATATATATATATATATATATATATATATATATATATATATATACATATATATACATATATATATATATATATATATATATATATATATATATATATATATATATATATATATATATATATATATATATATATATATATATATATATATATATATATATATATATATATATATATATATATATATATATTCTCACGTATTGATTCACGGATGGAAAAATGTGATGACACTATATTCCGGGATATCATCCGTTCGCTCGTTGAACTCCGACTGGAATCCTGCAAATCTTGCATCCGACTGGAATCCTGCAGACGTTTCGCCAAAATCTCACTTGGCATCTTCAATGCTCGCGTTCCGTGTTCGAAGTGTTTTCGGAACGCGAGCATTGAAGATGCCAAGTGAGATTTTGGCGAAACGTCTGCAGGATTCCAGTCGGATGCAAGATTTGCAGGATTCCAGTCGGAGTTCAACGAGCGAACGGATGATATCCCGGAATATAGTGTCATCATATATATATATATATATATATATATATATATATATATATATATATATATATATATATATATATATATATATATATATATATATATATATATATATATATATATATATATATATATATATATATATATATATATATATATATATACACTAAAGCCTGATTAACATTTTCGTAATTAGATTTTCTGATTTTCAAATTGTTGCAATAGTATAATGAAAAACCTTATAAAAACGGGGATGAAAACCGATTTGTATAAATTTACGCCTAGAGAAGCTGCTATGGCAGAATTTTTTCTTCACGGTTCAAACGATCCATAATTTTCATCTTCGCTTGCGCGTTTTAGTTTACAGCACGTGGATAATTTTATGGT